GGTATTATTTGATTTTAATACTCCCTCCGTATCATATTAAATGATTTTTTAGAGAGGTTTTTTGTCTCAAATTAGATGATATTTTAAGTTTTCAAAGTAAAATTAATTATGTTTTTGACTCTTTAAATTCTGCAGATTAGTTTTCAATTGGTAAATTGTAATAGAATTGGTGGTTTTATGTTGAAAAATAAAAAAATTAAATAGTTTTTTAATTTGTGTGTAAAAATCTTAAAAATCTTAATTTGTGGAGTACTTTAAAATTGAGTGACAATGCAAATTTTTGCGGTTAATAATAATATTCCACAATTAGGTAGTAGTGTGGTCCAGTACATTCGAATAATCTCTAATTGTTCGTTTAAGGAATAATAATCTCTAATTGTTCGTTTAAGGAAATGTAATTACTTCGTGTGGATCTCATTATTAATTGGGAAAATCCTGCAAGATCTTTGACACACACAAGTCTCTGATTTAAATACCACTTTTGGAGAATTGGAAAACCCTAAAACGAGAAATCTAAACACATCGACGACTCTTGGTCACTCACTCCAAAGCTCTCAAATTTTCAACTATGGCGAGGACTCTGACGAAACCAGTTTTTGTGAAGGTTGATCAGTTGAAACCAGGGACTAAAGGCCACACTTTGATCGTGAAAGTCGTCGAATCGAATCCTGTTAAACCGGCGATACGCAAAACTGGTTCTTTGACTCAGCCAATTCGATCTCCTCGTATCGCTGAGTGCCTAATCGGCGATGATACTGGATGCATCCTTTTCACTGCTCGCAATGATCAAGGTATAAGGAGGATCTATGCGCATAATAATATTTTGGGTTTAGGGTTTTGGTATCGCCTAATTTTTGCATCGTTACTCTGTTTCTTACTGTTGTTTGAACACTAATGAATGAAATAGACAGCTTTTGAAGTGCTTAAGCCTTAGTGGAACATATATTCAATCGAATTCCAGAAACGAGTTGCTATATTTCTGTTGTAGGTTACGAGTTTGATCATAAAGTTTGCTTTTTTTTAAATGGTTTTTGCTTTTGTTGATGAACAGAGTATATGTCTAAGCTTGCTTACTTTCTGATTTGTTTCACTTCAATTCACCTCTTTTAGTGATAATCCGACTTTGTTTTAGAGAATTTGTATGGTACCAATGGTAATCTTTTGGGGGTTGCACTTGCAAATGCAGTTGATCTAATGAGGACTGGAGCGACAGTAATTCTGAGGAATGCGAAGATCGATATGTTCAAGGACACGTATCACACGATGCGAATGGCTGTAGACAAATGGGGACTCATTGAAGTCACTGATCCTGTTTCGTTCGAGGTTAATCGAGAAAACAATCTCTCTCTGGTTGAGTATGAACTGGTTACTGTACCTGATGAATGAGTGAAACCTGTGCGTCTGTCTCTGCTTCTCTCGGTTTTCTTTTATTCGAATTTTTCGGAGAATTCTCTAAACCATTGGTTAGATTCAGTTACTATTGTTTATCGGTTTGGATTAGATTTAAGATGAGATTGTGTAATCTTGCTCTTGCACAGTTCTGAAAAGTTTTGAGTCTTTGCCTTTAGAGCTTGTTGATCAAATTGGTATTTGGAGGTTTCATTCAGTGTTATTTTTATCTTCTTTTCTACTTTCTGCGGTTTCCTGGATCTAAACATAACTCAACTTTGATGTATAACTTAAAAGTGTTTTTTATAGTTTTCACTTTTCATAAAAGACAAGTAAAATGGAGATTGCACAATTACTCCAAAAGTTGTTTTGTTTCTCAAATACAGTGTATCTTTTACCTTTTTATGGCTCATACTCCTCTTGACTACCCTCCAAGCTCTTGTAGTATGCGTCCATAGTTTCAAACTCGTTGGGATGATCATTTCCTCGAGCGGTTTCATACCTGCGGCTAGGGGTATATTCGGTATTCTTACCTCTCGTGTCGTAGAAGTACTTACCGTTCTCCATAAACCTTGTATCGCTCATCCCTTGTTTCTTTTCTTCATTACCATAAACTCTCCTATGATCATTGTTATTAGTAGTGTAAGTGTATCCATTATTGTTGTTGTTGTTATACTTATCCTTTTGCTCATTGAGATCTTCCGAATCTTCGGAATCTTCTTCCTCCTCGAACGCTTCCGGTAACTGGTTGTCTTTTACTTCGTCAAATGTAGCCATCAATTTCTCGAATTCTTCGTCAGTGGTTGTAGATGAAACCGGCCATGACTCTTTGGTTTGAGGAACCATACCGGAACCTGGCCCAAAAGGCCCGTCTCCGAGTCTTCCATTGGCTTGGGCTTGGCCCGGGGATGTGGCCGGAGCTGGAGCTAGAGGTACCTCTTTGTTAGAACGATCTATGTGAGTGAACTTACTAAAGAAGAGCTTACCTTCTCTACCTTCAACATTATTATCAATGAAGCAAAAAATAGCAACGAGGAAACAAAAAATGAACTTGAGAGCAAATGAAGCCATCAAAGAAGAGAGAAGAGCTAGAGTGAATGAGAGATTTTAGGGTTTGCGATGTGTTTTGGTGTGTGAGTGAGTTTATGTATAAATAGAATTAATTAAGTAGTTGTGGAATGGGCCGAGCAAACATGCGAGGATTGAGGAGGGAATTCGTCATTCGCGGCGAGTGTTTT